TCATGAAAAGAGAATAGTTCACAGAAGTCAAGGCTAAGACAGCAGAACTCGGCCAATAAAGGAACAATATTTCCCTTAGAGGATATGAGGAACCTGGCAACATGTGCTTCATTGTCTTCAGATAGCTATGAATAAGTGACTGCCCCTCGCTTCCTAATCTTTCACTTTGTGAATGGTGGTGACGATTGTGGATGTTTTGCCTCTGTCTCACCACTGTCTTTTGGGTGATAAGGGAAAGGATTGCTTATATTTGTTCATAATTTTCTGAATCAAAAAAAAAAAAAAGCCAAAGCTGAGGACCTTTATGTAGACCTGACATAAATCACAAGCCCCTGGACTTTGATAGCGGTGCTCTGATGAGATAGGACTCAGAGGGGTCTTGGGTATGGGTGAGGATATTTTGCACATGGAAGGCCAGAGAAGAAGGACCGAAGTAGATTGATGGCATTAAGAACTCTAATTATTTGTCTCCCCACATCCATGCTCTTTATTCTATAACTTTACTCTGTGATCTCCACTCTGACTTTGGGCTCCACCATGTGATATGCTTTAGCCAATGGGATGTTAGTAGCACAATGCTATCAGCAGCTTGAAAATCATAAAATAGAGATAAGTCACCTTAGCCAAGGCTATCCTAGACAAGTCAAATACAGACAATCTAGATGCATGAGTGAACTCAGCTGAGACCAGAGATCAGAACTGCCTATCCATGTTCAGCCCAGATCACTAACTTGCAGACTCGAGAGCAATAGTAAATGACTGTTATTTTAAGCCACAAAATTATGAGAATCATCAAAGGAGATAAGGAACATATGCCTGTAGTCTGTTTAAAGACATAATAATAAAAATTAAATAATAATATTGAATAGTATTCTATGTTAAGTAACAGTCTCAGTTGCCTTATATGTACTTATCATTTCTTATAATCCTTACAACAACTTTTAAATAAGTAAATGTTAGTTTGTTAATGAAGAAAATGAGACAAAGTTTAAATAATTTCCTTGGAGAGTTCACATAACTGAGAAGTGGCAGATACAGTGAGAATACTAGAAGAAGACATAGTTGGTACAGTGGGAAATATGAGCATGGATCTATGACTCACATTGAATTTTGGAGTCAGCAACAATGTCCATTGGATCACAGTTTTAATTTAACAGTGTAGGAAAGGTCGAGATTGTATATTGAATTGGTGAAGAGCAATATAAAAGAAAGGCAAAGGATTAAGACCTGGAGTAAAGAGCACTAAGAATTGGAGAGCAAAAAAGAACTGGAGAGAGTAAAACATCATCATTAATGGTAAGAGAAGAGGACAAGAATATTTAAAAAATGATGGAGGAAATAAATGGAAGAAAGGGGAAGTGGGCGACAGTGTTTCATGACCCAGAGAAACTAGAGCAACTTAAAAACTGGTTAGTTTCCATTGGTTTCTATAGTTTTAAGAGAATGATAGAGGCAAAGCTGTAGTACATTCAAAAGGGAGTGGTAAATCCAAAAATTAAAGATATGATTGTGGTCTATTCCTTCTTATCTAAGAAGGAAATGGAAAAATAAAAAGAAATAAAAATAAAGTTTTTATTATTGAGAATAAATAGAAAAATATATAGAAAACACATAAAAGAGTGATGATTAACGCTATTGAATCACTTCAAAAGTAGGAAGGAATGTGATCAAGCGTAGACTGGAAGAATTTGTCTTGAATAAGTGAATAACAATCTCTTTCACAAAGGAAAATGAAAAGTAGAGTTGATTGCCATACATGCAAATAAATATGTATATTGGTAGTTTGGAAGGTAAGGAATTTTATGACAGGTATGTCTCGTGGTCTCAGTGAAGTGAAAGATGTTTTCCTTTGCTAAAAATGAGAGCCATCGAGGGTAGATAGAGTGTTTTAGGAAGATAGATATGGAAAAAGAGTTTAGAAAACTTAAAATTATTAATTAAAGTCCCAATTGTGTACAGAGAGTATGAATGTGTATGACACTAAAATGCACAATTGTATGTGCATTAGATACAGAATCAAAAACGATTAATTCAGGATTTAGGAGTGGTTGGGAAGGAGTAACTTAAGGTGAGAGACATGAGGCAGAAGAAGTTGCAAGTGAGATAATGGTAAAGTAGTCTATCTTGAGTCTAGGCTCATATCGAGAAGAATCTGAAGGAAATTTCTAGAAAACACAAATCCCTACCCACCCCCAGTGGACTCAGGTCACATTGGATTTCTCTGTTCCTTTAAAGCATCAAGTATATTCTCAGTCTAGGCCTTGTTCCAGTTATTTCCTCTACCTAGAGCAGCCTTCCTGAGCTCTTTACCTGCTGATTCTTTCTTGTTATTCAAATTTCAGCTCAAATGTCACCTGCTTATGGAGGCTACCTCTGTGAACTTTATCCCAATTGCTTCATTAACTCTCTTCTGATTTATTTGAAAAGTTCATTTTTAATTCTCCAAAGTTCAACGATGCATTATAGTATACATACTGAAGGTAAATGTTGCAGAAGGGATGTAACTTTATCTCTTAGTGATGCACGCATACTTAAGTTTCTAAATAAGCAATGCACTAAGTCTTGCAGTTCATCAGCCTGGAAAATGAAAAAAAATAAAATAAAACAAGGAAAAACAAAATCAAAATATGATAAATATGCATAGCCTTAAAAAATCTTATTACTGCTCTTATGTTCAGAAAAGAAATGGTATTGAACCAAATGGCAATAACATCGTGACTCTTAATTTCCTAAAACATGTTTCTGAAAATCAATTGATTTAGAATTTCAAACTTTACTTTTTAGCAAATAGTCAAAATAGTAATAAAGATTATACAATTTTAGAATCTTCTTAGCAAAATACAAGTGACCAATATTATACAACGGCACTAACATATAATGAAGGAAAGTAGATTCTTCTTTGAGTCTTAAAACATGAGACCCCTGCTGTTCTCTTATATTTGCTGTTTGGTAATCATCAAACCTAGGTAGACTCCTGTAAAAGTGATTGTTTCCTAAATAGAATGAGAATGCGATAAACATATTTCTTTGATTTGAATAATCAATAAGAATAAAATAGGAGCAAGATTAAAGATCTTGCCTGTATTCTAACAGTTCCACAGATGTTACAGACTCCTTTTTTCAATAATCCAGCTGTTTACAAATATAGTCTGCCTGGCTTTACATGAGCCACATTTGTAGTGCAGTGGAGAAATTTTTAATTAAAAAAAAAAAGTGTTTTCACCTTGCAAAGATGCAACCTTTGTGTAGTTCGGATTAATAGCAGTGTAGTAAATTTGTGTCCATCCCAGGGCCAAGCTTCCATTCTTGTCATGGCAGTGCTAGACCGTCTACAACACACACTCAGAATGCCTGGGGGAACTGTGACCTGCGCTAATGAATTGTGGAAAGATAATTTCCTCTGCCTATTTTTCCTTTTAAACAAATTGCAACCTCATATTTCAACCAAATGACCTTTCTAAAACTCCACAGTGTCTAATTATAAAAGAACGAGAGGGCATTTACTATTAACAGAAATGAGATTAAGTTTTGCCATAACCTTGGGAGGCAGCATAGCCAATGATGTTTATAATCCGGGGTGATTGGAAGGCGGGGGGGCCTCCTCCAAAGGCTATTGCAGATTCCTCCTGGCGCCATGCTGCTGAGCTCAGTCTGTTCAATGCCACAAAGTCAGCAGCTTAAAATCCCCTGTCTAGGTTTATGTTGCTAATAATATTCAATTTAGTACTGTCGGAAGGGAGGAGGGAGGAGGGAAGCAAAGAGGGGAAGAGAGGGGGATAAAATGACAATATGAGAAAATAGAAATAAGGAAAGGTAAGAGAATAAATGAAGTATAAACATTCATTCCCAAAATATGTATTAAGAACCTACTATTTATGAGGCGCGAGGCTCTGGGTTACCAGAGTGCAGAATGAAAGAGACATGCATAGTTCCTGACTTGGCCATGTTTCCAGTCAAGTTGAAAAGACAAACCAAAAGAAAAGAAATAAGTAAATAATAACATAATCACACTTGTGAAGTGTTCTAAGGAAAATGAATAGGATGCAGAGATAGATAATACTAAGAAATTCTCAAAATAACAAAATGACTTTTAGATTTAAGTTGAAGGATGAGAAGGATCCAGGCAGTCCAACATCATAGAAAACAAGAAAAAGAAACAGTGTGAGTGAAGTCTTGAAATATGAAGAAGATAAGCACATATGTTAATGGTGCATAAAATGCTAATGGGACTGAGGATTAAAGCAGTAAGGGGAGTCAGAGGGGGTGCCGAAGATTCTAAGTGGTGGAATTCCTTCAGTGTTTTGAGTACATGACCTGTCTGATTTGTATTTTATGGGGAGTAAATGGATTGGAGATGGACAAAATTGGAGGGATAGAGATCAGTAAGATAATTGCAACAGCGCAAGCAAGAGATGGTGGTAGCAGTGGAGGTGCAGAGTGAAAGAGACACAGAGAGACTGGCAAATACTTTAGAGGCAAACCGTAGTAGACTTACTGATGGATTGGATGTGGGCAAGTCTGAATATTTAGAGAAATCTAAATATTTGGAGAAATATGAATGTTTGGAGAAATTGAAGATGTTTCCCAGGTTTCTGACTTGAGCAACTTGGTCGATGAATATAAATATGTCAGGTAGGCTATTGTAGGTTCTAAAGCTTTGGAAAAGGACCAATGTGGTATGTTAGTTGGGATTCTTCAGAGAAATAAAACCAATAGGATAGCTATCTATCCATCTATATCTATCTATATCTATATCTATATCTATATCTATATCTATATCTATATCTATATCTATATCTATATCTATAGATATATCTATACCTGTATTTATCTATATCTATTTATATCTATATCTATATCTATCTATATCTATATATCTATATCATCTATATCTATATCATCTCTATCTCTATCTCTATCTATACTATCTATATCTATATCAAGAAAGAGAGAGAGAAGGAGAGAAGAAAGATATTTATTATAAGGTATTGGCTCAGAAGATTATGGAGGCTGTCACATCTCAAGATCTGCAGTTGGCATACTGAACCCAGGAGAGCCACTCTAGACTTTTAGTCCCAGTCCGAAGGCCTGAGAACCAGGAGAGTTGATGGTGCACTTCATTCTGAAAGCCAGCAGGCTCAAGGCCCGAGGTGAACCGATGTTTCAGTTTGAGTCTAAAAACAGAAAAACAGAGATTTCTCAATTTGAAGGCAGTCAGAAATTGTCTCTAATTTAGCTTTTTGTTCTATGCAGAACCTCAATTGATTGGATGAGAATCTCACACTGAAGACAATCTGTTTTATCTCATCTATCAAATTTGATCAAATGCTAATCTCATCCAGAAATGACCTCATAGACACACCCAGAATAACATTTGATCAAATATCTGGGTACCTATTGGCTTAGTGAAATTGACACATAAAGTAACCGTCACAGCTAGAAATGGAATTTTGAGAGCTATAAGCATAGAGGCAGTATTTAGGCTGTGGAGATGGACGAGTTTGCTTAAGGAAATAATATAGAGAGAGAGCAAAGCAGAGAGCCTAGGACTAGTCCCTAAGGAACTGCACATTTTTAAAGTTGGAAGAAGTAGGAGGAACCAGAAAAGGAGACCAAGAAGTAATGTCCTGGTTCCAGAAAAACCTGAAGAAAGGGTACTACACATGCCAAGAGAACCACCATTAGCTCCTCATTTCCTACTCAATGAAATTCAAATTTTTGAACCATTATTTTTTCAGATTATCCATGAACTTTCAGTCTTTTCTCCCTTTTCTACTATTGCTGTGCTCCAGATGACATTTTCCCCAGTGTGAGTGTACATTTAACCTTATTTTACTTTTCCTATGGTATATAATCTTTAAAAATTATGTGCAGGCATCTTATTCCTATCGGAAGTTCAGCTTTTTGAAAATTCAGATTTTTTTTTATTAGACTACACCCTTTGTATATGGTGATGGCTGCAGTCAATGGATACCATCTTCGAAGAGATTACTTGTGCTACGATTTTGAGGAACCTAAAAATAGCATTTTCCAGACAACTTCCTGCTGGTTCCGTCTATAAGTTCGATTTTTGCCAAATAGAAGCAATAGCTTGACAACTGGGAAGTGTCAGTGAAGTTCAGGCTGTCTTCCTGTTCTTTTTTCTTTTGGCAAAGAGAGCTGTAATGTTAAACACAATAGTGGTGGCTGAACAGGCATTCCAACATCTAGACACATGCTCTGTGGATGTTGCATGGCAGTGACAGCAGTCGAGGCTCTTGATCTCCAGAACATGACTATAACCACAGGGCTGTGTCTTTAATGATATTTTAGCAATGTCCATCTGACTTCTCTGACATTCCAACAGTTTTGTAAAAACTTAATTGCCTTTATTAAATCAATTTTTGCTCCAAATACCCAGAGATATTTCTGTTTCATTCATTAAACTTTAACTAAGGGACACATGGTAAGGATTCAATTATAGAATGCTTGAAGGAATAAATAAAATAAGAGGCCAATTATGACATTGCTGTGATATTAGCTACAATGAATTCTTAGTCTCTTCTACTAGGCTCTAGGATGCTCTAAAATTCAAAGGTGAGAAATGGAGTCCAGATAATGAGACAAAGGCAAAGGAGCAAAGAGGAGCAGAACCTTAATGAGAGCTTATCTGGGGAGTCCACATTGGGTAGGCCAACGAATATATCCACAGTGAGCTAAGAAAGGTTAATTCCCAAGAAAGAAGGACAAAGGAACTTATATCAAAAACTACTTTTAGAATATTTTCAATGCTCAAATAAAAGGAGTTGAAATGCTATGTATATTTTTCTCACATAACAAGAGCCTGAGCATTGAACATCTCAGATCTGGCTTAGAGGCTACACATCATTGGGCCCTAGCATTTTCCCTATTTTGCCTAGCTTTTTGCAGTGATAGCCTTCTTCATTGTAGTAAGACAGCTGTGACAGCTTTAAGCATCATGTCCTCAAACTACAAAGAATAAAAGCAAGAAAGAGAGGCTAAGACTTTCTTTATGCCACTCTCTTTTTATACCAAGAAGAAAAATCCTTTCCAGACCCTGTTGCCTACTTGCTCATGCCAACTTCAAGAAGGTTGAGCATCATCTGTTCTTATATAGAGAGAAATTCAGTGTTATAGGCTGAATAGTGGCCCCTAAAAATTTATAGGTTGAAATCTTAACCCCTAGTACCTCAGAATGTGCTCTATTTGGAAGTTGCATTGTTATAGATATAATTAGTAGGGTAAGATGAGGTCTCTCTGCAGTAGGGTGGGGTCCTAATCCAATATGACTGCTGTTCTTATAAAAAGAACACTATGTGAAGATCGTAGATTAAGTTACCATAGCCAATGAACTCCGGAACCTCAGAGGATGCCTGTGATAGATCCTTCATTAATGCCTTCGGGGGAGGAGGTATGGCTGTGCTGCCACCTTGATTTCAGACTTCTGACCTTCAGAACTGTGAAACAATATGTGTCTGTGGTTCTAAGCCATCCGGTTTGTGGTACTTTGTTGCAGCAGCTCTAGAAAATAAATACATTCAGTACGATAAAAACGACATAGTTTTACTGAAATGTAATTAGTGATGTTTCCTCCAACTTAGATAATTAGTACAGAAAACAGATCTATAGTCAATAATACTTTTAAAGAATTCCGAAATATAAGGCAGAGTCAGCAAAAACCAGGGAACGTGTTTAACAATTTTTCTATGGATTTTTTTAAAATAGATTTTTAGTTCCAATTATAATCTTTATGGGGATAATTCTATTTTATGTAGTTATTCTGATGTTTATTAATTGTCCTTGAGAATGAGGCCTGACAATACCATGTACTTTATCTTCTTTGTATTGACAGTACACATGGAGGCAGAACATTTTGCTGAAGTTAAGAGATGTAAAAGATAAGGAACATTCATGCAGAATTTTTCGGAGAACTATAAATGATGGAACTATGAATTCAATTATGTGGTAAATCCAGATTAACACTTACTTAAATTTAGCAGCACATCTTATTTTTTCATTTCTAAAGGAGAAATTAGAAGAGACACAAAATTGATTAAGCAAAAACTGAGTAATTAAAACTGTTGTATTACAATGGCAAAATATATGATAAGATCTGGAAGTTTTCATGCCATCTTTTTTGGAAATCTAGAAAATATGTTATCTGTACTTAATATCAGAATAAAACGTAATGTCACCCAAGGAATTTATGATGAGAGTGTTTGTTGGCTTAAAAATAAATAACAAGTTTCTAAGTTTCAACCAAGTAACAAAACTTACGTGAAGGATTCACTCATAAAAAAAAAAAAATCCACAGAAAATACACACATATTAGAAATCTACTAGTACATTTGAATGGAAAAGTCCTAGAAGACCAAAGCCAAAAAACCTTTGCTGTGGCAAAGAAAATGTTAAGTAATTCTGAGTAAAATAAAAACACAGTGCCGGATTTAAACAAGTTACAGTAAAGGCCTTTCATTGAACTTCCATACTTTCCTTTATGTGAGAGGAATATTATTAAGACAGTTTTTTGTAGCTATTCAACTTATTCACTTTATTGTCTTAATTTTTTTTCCCATCAGCTTAAATTCTGGATAGGCACAATAATAAAAGTAAAATGAAACAAGACTAAATTCACTTGAAGCTAATTTCAACTCTACAGTTTTTAACCTTCTACAAAGAGAAACTGGTGGCCGTAATTGCTAATAGGTGACCAGACAAGCTTGGATGTTTAATTCACACCCATGGCTCTGGCATTTCCCTGTAAGTCACAAAGAATTGTGGCTCTCAGGTGATTTGTCGCAAGTGACCTATGAAGGTCTTTTCCACCAGTATAAGAAACAAACTCATTCTTTCCAGCTCAGACATTGAATTCTGTGATGCATGGCACTGATTTCAAATCGAGTTCTTTAAACACCTAGTGGTTAGAACAGGATCAAGGAACATTAGACCTACTTAAAAGAGAGGTCTCTAAAAATGAACATTTTTGTTTAGATCACAACAGACTTGAGAAAAACAACAAACAATACAATAAAACAAAATGTGGTTGCAATGAAACAATTTATTTAGAAATCTATTTGCTGACCCCTGGCTTCTACCCACTAGCTGGCATTTAACCTTTTTTTACAAAATGCATTTTGGCTGTATATGGATAAAAAGACCAAGCTATAAACAACAACAATAATAATGATAATAATAAGAAGAAGAATAAGGATAATAAGAATAATAATAAAAATAGTTCAAACTTTGCAAGCAAATTACTAAAAAGTAAAATCTTAGAAATGGAAAGGGACCTCATAGATCCTTTAGTGCTCATGAATAGATTCCCCAGACACTCTCCTTAAGCGTTTCCTCCAGCCTCTGCTTGCAAACATTCAGTGAGAAGGAACTCACCATCATAAAAAGCAGCCTTCTGAATTTGGGGGCAACTATCATTGTAAGAAATGTCTTTTCAATATTTACTCTAAATGACCACTTATATTTTCCTTCTACTGATCTAAGTTCAAACTTCTTGTCTCCAAAAAAAATCTGATTCCTCATAAAGATAACTGACCTTCCAATATGTGAACTATCGGTAATCTTTTACAAGAGAAATATGCATTCGTTTCAAGATACTTCATTCTCATTTTTCTGAGCTTTTATCATACTTGGTTTGTCAACTTTCTTCTGAATGTCTGATCTGGCAGAATGTTCAAGATACAGAGTGAGGTCTTCTTGGTTGGGGATATCACATTTTGATTAATGCATCTGAGGCCCACGTTGACTTCAGTGGTGACTCAATCACCCTGCTGACTCACATTAATCTTATACTTGGCGAAAATGCCTCTAACATTTTAACCCAATTTATTGTTCAGCCTTGCCTCTCCCTTACTTCTTTGAACCATATGCTTTCTGACCCAAGCGCAGGATATCACATTTATCTTTATTAAATGTCATCTTCTTAGACTCAACCTACTGTTTTAATCTGTCAAGATGCTTTCGATTCCTGATTCTGTCATCCCCTGTATTAGTTATCTCCCTGAGCTTGTTGTCAGCCACAGATTTGATAACAGGCCTTCTTTGTCCTCATCCAAGTAAATGACTTGGAATGAGGACAATGGCTTGCTAAGGAAAGCAAGTGCAATGCTGTGCTGGCTGTCCTCCAAGTTGTGAATGCTGTGTGCATTTGAATTTCATTCAACCAGTTAAAAACCTACTCAACCACATTAACATTTCATACATGACTCTATCTCATATGTGAAGATATTTTGAATCTGGTCCCTACCGTCTTTCTTGTCATTATCTGGTCCTTTATTCCCAGCACTCGTTGCGTTCCAGTCAGACTAGCGATATTTGCTGTCCTTTATGGATACTGGGCTCTTTTCCCATCTCAGAACTTTTCTAATTTTTGTTCCCTTTACTTGAATTACTCTTCTATGAGATATTTGCATAACTGGTTCCTTGTCATTCAGACCTTAGCTCAAAAATTACCTCTTGAAGCAATGTTTCTCTACCTCTAATTCTCAACTATTGGCATTTGGGACTGGATAATTCTTGTGGGTGGCTGTTTCCCTCATTAATGTTTCATTATTCTTATTGCGCAAGTCTTGTATTTCTTTATTCAGTATATTCTAAAATGTGTTATTATTTTGATACTATTTTGAGTGGAATTATTTCCTTTTAAACAATTTCAAACATAATTATTTAAAATACTTTCTTTTAAACATCAATCTTTCTTACTGAACCTCTTCAATTTTGATTGTATTGTTAATCAAATAAAATCGGATGCAGATCTTTTTAAAAAAACTTTCTATCAAATAAAATCTGCCTGTGTATTTGTTGGATTTAAGACTGCTTTAGGCATTTCACCTGGGTATTACATTAAATACAAATAAATGCTCTCATTTTGCTTAAATGAATTTCTATTCTCCTTCCACTAATATAATTCCTAAAACAGAAATGCTATAAAATCACACTTTATAATTCTGTTCTCCCATCTCCAAGTAATACAGTGAGAAATCAAATTAAAATGCCTGGCAAGTATTCTTACAAAACAAAAACAGAAGAAAAGAAGGGCAAAGATAATTTTTCTCTCATCTGATCTGGGACTGAATAGGCAAAGTAGAAAAAAGTGCCACGAATCAACTGCATATACATGAACCTCCTGTCTGTTTTGGCATGAGAGTCAATATAAGTGATTTTCCCCTCTTTTCTACTAATTTACTCCCTCCCTGAATCACTCAGTGGCCTCCTTGCAACAGCAAAATAAGACTGAGGCTGTGGAGTTTTCCATAGCTGCAATAAATGAACTTACCCCACCTCTATTTCTCATCACTGGGTTATTACTCTCTCTAAAGCATACAAGGCAGGGACCCTGTCTTGTTCAATTTTATATTCTGCATGGCTTTCATTTTAATTATGGATTAATAAAACAGGTATAGACAAATGTGTCCCATTTGCTTTTATTTTCCTTTGTTTTAGCTTATAAACTATTAACGAGCTTCAGTCAGCAACAAGCAAAATATACAAATATCAAGATAATAACAATTCTCTGCTTGAATCTTACAAATGAGTAAAATAAGTCAAGAAGAAAGCTATAGCCAGCATGTGACAATCTGTCTAAACAATTGATAATAACTTATTAGAGTTTAGATATAAATGTTAATGAAAATGGTTCAGATTTACAAAGAATCTTCCCCAGGTATTGAAGTACAGATTGGGTTATAGGCATTAGTGGACACCTGTGTAAGATAAATTGCCAGCCCAAATTCACTGAGACCCACACAACCATACAACTAAACAAACAAACTTTACCTTTAGCAATTTGACATTAAATTTTATTTATCTGGAATCCAGGCTCTGTGTTCTGCCAGTGTAGTTCATAAGCAGAATTTTATTGCAGCTACTTTTATGCTATGGCAGTTTGCTTCAGTCTTTGAATATAATCACTTTGTTTAAAAAAATCGTAAGTAAATAAATATGTACACATGTATGCATATACTCATATATAATAAATTAATATCAATTAAAAGAGGGACATGCTTTGCCTCCTGAGAGAGCCTATTGCATGAGCAGTATGCATGTTAGTATACAAAGTTTTTAGAAGTTCTGCATTAAAAAGAACAGTCAAACACGGTTTGACTCATCATTTTATCAAATTATTTGACCATGGGTAATTTTATTCAAGTGACTCATATTAATGTTTGTGTTTCACGAATAACGGCTTCTGGAACATTAACGTGGAGCCATAGTGATAAGTTAAAGAAGAAGGCTGTGTAACCTTCCATGTAGTATTACAGCCTTTGCCAGAAGAACAAAACTATCATTATACAGATTTCAAAATGATTATCTTTAGCTAGAGTTACTTCCTTATTATTGCTATTTAATTTTTCTATATATCTTCTTTTAAAATAAAACTATATTTATAGTATAGATATAATAAGAAAAAATCAAAAGATGTTACAATCAAGAAGGAATAACCTAGAATTTATATCTATACCTCCTTTAGAATATCAGGAATTGTACATTTCATGCCAATTTTTTATATACTACTTGTTTTAAAAATGAGATCCATTTTAATTCAGTACTCATCATTATGATGTATATATAAGAAATGTATTTTTTGGTTTTCATCCACAGTTCCAGGCACATAGCTCCTAAAGCCCTTATAATTTTCTATATGAGAGCTGTAGGGACATCTTCAGTTATAATATTTAGTTTTGCCTTCAATTCCTGAAATTTCCTGAAATTCGGAGTGATAAAGGTAAAGAGAGTTTATTCCGTTAGTCATAACAAGTTCCTTTCGACCACACATGAATTTATATTAATGAGGTGATTTTTGGATAATCTTTAAGGATAGAGATTGATTGACAAGTGAACCAAAGCCATGATCAGGGGTCGAAACTTCCAACCCCACCCTCAACGTCCCAGGAAGGGAGAGGGGCTGGAGATTGACTTAATCTCCAACAGTCGGTGATTTAATCAACCATGCCTACACAGTGAAGCTTCCATAAAAACCCCAAAAAGATGGGGTCTGGAGAGCTTTTGGGTTGATGAACAAGAAAGTACCCAAATACCAGGAGAATGATATACCCCAAACTCCAGAGGCACAGAAGCTCCTGTGCTTGGCACCCTTCCAGATCTTGTTCTATGAACTCTTCATCTGGCTAGTCATTTGTATATTTCAATAGTCTCTATAATAAACCACTAACCGAAGAAGTAAATTTTTTTTCTGAATTCTATGAGGCACTATAGCAAATTAATCAACCCCAAGCCGGTAGTCATGGGAACTCCCAATTTATAGCCAGTTATCAATAACACAGGTGATAACTTGGACTTGCAATCGGGGGCAGTCTTATAGGACTGAGCTCTTAACCTGTGGGGTCTAATGTTGACTACAGGTAGAAAGTGTCAGAATTGAGTTAAATCGTAGAAGACACTACTGGTGTCACAGAATTGCCTGGTATGGGGGAAAAAACCTCCACACATCTGGTGTCAGAACTGAAATATTAAGAATAGAAAAGCCAAACAAGAGTATTTTTTTCTTTAAAAATCATTGATAAAAATGATTACAAAATTTAAAAGATTTTCTACTAACTACACATTTAGACCTATCTGAAGTTTTAATCCAGTACGTTCTCTTAAAACAGAATGAGGAAAGCTCCCATTCCATGTATGAGCACTGTGTAGCATCTAGAGAATTCCATGAGTAGTGTAGATGTTTACTTCCTTCCACCCTTTCGTTCTACGGTGTCATGTCAAAGGGATTGCTCTAACAAAACTTCAGGAGTTGGTTGTGGAAAAGTCATTGGAGCTGGAGGGAGGAGATGAATGTTTTGGTCACAGGTTTGTAACCCGTGAGCAATGTACTCTGGTCAGATTATTCATTCTCCAGGTGACACATATGGTAGTTTAAATGACAAAAGAAGCATGGCTGCAGAGAACATTCTTATATTTTGGTAGCATCCTCAGGGATGCATACTAGAGCCAGAGGCCTCAGTAACACAAGATAGGGACTCAAAGTATCATTATATCAGTTAAGGAGTGAATGATGGGTGTTCTGTAAAATGAGTTTCCATTCCTAGATGGAACATTCAAATATATGTTTGACCAGAGTACTTCCTCAATACCGAAATTACATGTAAAGGAACGGACTCCTATTCCCAGGAGTGGTTGATGGTCTTTACAACACCGTACTAGCATTTCTCAAGAATGGTTTTTGAGTGAAGCGGACATGTGCTGGAAACTTTTTGTGACGGTTTTATTTCATTTCTTGAGTAACATATGTAACTCAAATTATGTTACCTGACATTCCTAATTTGGAACAAATAAATCCCTTCAGTCAAGTACTCATCAGGGTTCTAGCAAAATGAGATGACCACCAAAAAGAGCAATGCAGGACAAGGATGGAAGGGGTTGTGATCAAATCGATAATGTCATGTCATGAGAAAAAAATCATGGAATTATGAAACAATTCTCCACAGTTGAGGAAAAGTGAAATCAAGTCATTTCAAAGCTGACATAGTTATTTTTACGATCAAAGCATTTATAATTTATTTGTGAGATGAGGGGGATACAATCCTTATAGATTTTAAAACATCATAATGAGCTGAATTCTGAAAGAAAGATATACTTCACACCACTAGCGAAAAACCGAAAATAATATTACCTTTAAAGAGTGCCAAAGTAGGAAACATAAGAAGAATCAAATTTAATTTAGGTAAAATCAGGATATCAATGTCATAAATTCACTGAGACAGCCTGGATGAGGCAAACTTTTGAAGGTGAAGTGGATGTTACTTAATGATGCATTCCTGTGTATAAAGGGAGGAGGAGGCAGAAGAAGAGTGGGTGGTAAGGGTGGGTCTGGGCAGGCTGCCACAGTGGACAGGGTCCAGACTCGAGGCATCTTGGGAGAGGACTGTGTTACAAACGTCATGGTTTTTTCCAGCAGTAATTCCAAAATTTACATAACACTTTGCATTAGAATATATTATACTCAATCCATATATATACTTCTAGTATTGAAATGTTAATAAAGAAATAAATCACAACTATCATAAAAAGAGAAAGAGACCTAAAGAACTATTAACACGCACATACAATTGACGTTTAATAATTTCATCTGCCTAGAGAGAAATTGAAACAGAACCTTATATAAGAACTAAATCAAGCCACATTGACTTTCAAAAAAGGATTTTCCCCCACAAGCCAGACTGTGTATAGTAAATTGAAAGCAGTATATAATTTTCATTCAAATACTGGCACAATTGAGAAATTTCACAAAACATAGTTGAATAAGTCATTTTGACATCTGCATCGAGATCTGAATAAGTCTACAGGCCCAATTCATTATGTTTTCTTAGGAGATGAGAATTATTTGAGAGATGGAGCTCATTGGTTCACACAAGATCCGATGTGGCACATTTGGATTCTGCGGGGAAGGTTTACTTCATTTTATTTAAAATTTAAGAGAAGTGTAGCATTCAGCAGTCCCTTACATTTGCTCTAAATTTTTAGTTGTATTTTTTAATAACTATTAATTTTATTAGAAAAACACTGGTTAACAAGCACAAAATAAAGGATACAGATGTAGTGTAAAAATGTACATACCTGAAATTTATGCAACATTGGTGACTTGTATCTTAACCTGTGAAACCTATGTACACTGAGGCTTTAAAAAGAATTCTCCTTTTGGCTCAAGGTGCTCATCAGCCATCTGGAACTGCTTCCCAAGCTTCATCCATTATGCAAATAATATTTAGTATTCGTCATGTTTCATCTACTGGTACTAATACATTCATGTTGGATGTTACAGCAGAAGCCCCTGAGAAGGCATTGCCTTTTCATTAGTCATTGGCTTGAGCTCACAGCTCATTACTTTTAATGGCCCTGTGGCGCTTAAGGTCACCGGGCTCCTAAGTGCTGCTGCCTAGAGCGTTACCAATAAAACCAATAAAAACAATTTTCTCTATTTAAGAGAAGCAGTTTTCCTATTTAATTCTTTTCTTCCTTTTATTTCACCTTTTTTTTTTTGGTCACCGTGGAATTACCATCACTTGAAAATAGATAATGACTATTTGAACAAGTGGAACTGTTTTTCAGAAATTTAAGTAAACAGAAGTATTTCTGAAAAGGGTTTAAAAAAGAAAATGCGTGTGTGTGTGTGTGTGTGTGTGTGTGTGTAGCCAATGGACTTTTTATAATATTTTTCAATTATCCCTCGTTAAAGTGTCCTTCCTTCCAACAGAATAAGTGCTTAAAGCAATAAAGCTTTAAACCCTAGTGAAACACAGCTCTGTTTATTCCACTTTCTAGTCGTGTGAGTATAAACGAGTTACTTAATCTCTCTGTGCCTCAGTTTTTCCTTCTCTAAAATAGAAATAATAAAAGAAATTATCTCATAGGCTTGTAGTGAGAATTAAATGAAATAATATTAAATGATTAAACACTCAGGTACATAATATGTGTCAAGTTGTTAAAGCAAATTGCAATAAAAATCTACAAATTTTGAAATAATTTTAAAAACATAACTGAATAAAAGTTCAAGCCATTATCTATATAAAGTTGTTAAAAATTAAATGAGAAAGACAGCTCTACTTAATTCTAATAAGCATAAATATTAATAGAATATTGAATTTTTAAAGAAAAATATCTTAAAATTTATACAAAATTTAATTAGGAAGCCTTATTAGATTTAGACTAATAATTATGAAATAACTGTATATATTTTAAAAGCACCCCCTAAAAAGACACCAGATGTGGACAACAGTAGAGGCAATCCATTCCAAAAAAGTAAGGAACAGAAAATTCCAGCAAACACTCTCAAAGTCTTAATATGTGTGTATATTTATGTGTGTACGTTTATAATTTTTAAATTCCTATAACAAATTAGCAAAGTGAATCCAGCACAATATTAAGATATCATTATGAATGTGCGTATGTATATGTGTGTGTGTGTGAGTACATATATATTTTCCAGGAATGCAGTAATGCTCCAGTAATGAGAAAACAGTAACATTAGTCATCAATTCATAAATTAAAAGATAAAAGTGCTGGGACCTGCTATCCAAAATGCCAGATTAAACACAGGAATCGATCTTTCCTCCCTCTCCAAATCCTATTGATAGAGGAGAAAAATGTGTAAGAAGATGTACCTTAGTAATAGCTCTGGAAAACAGGAATAAATACTAAAAGTAAAACAGAAATGTGAAAGATGGTAAAATAACAAAGCCTCAGAGGTGGAAATAAAGGTGAATGTTGATATATTTGATTGAATACACATTTAAAATAATTTAATGTCAAGAAAATATAAGCTATATTAGAGGACAAATAAGTAACTCAAATATTTGCAACTCATATGACAAGGGCAAAGAAAAGCTCTCTAATGAATGCAGCTGGTCTCACTAAGCAGGAACCATGTACTTTAGTGAAAAAAGTATATACTGGGCTCCTAATACAGTAACTTACAAGGACACATGTACACAAACATGTGCAAACAAAAAAACACGTGCAAATACTCAAATGCAAACTGGATAAGTATACGATAATTACTCAACAGTGCCAATGAAGTGTAAATTAAAACAAGGCAACATGTTTTCCCAACTCACTTATAACAAGACAGAATAACAATGCAGAATATTGAAAATAGTTTGACGAAAAGCAGTTATCATAATTATTCTGATTATACACATAAAATATATATTAATATATATGAAATATTTTCAATGTATAACGAAAGTATTAAATACTCCAATCTTAGATTTCCACTTCTAGGAATTTTCCTAGAGAAATCTATTTTTGGATGAGTATATAAATTTTTAATAGAAAATATTGGAATATACTTCAATTCTAATATTAGGAGATATGATATTAATATATTATGATTCTTCAATGCAACACAATACAATGCTATGCAATAACCAATATGATGATACAGCTATGTAATTACATAAACATATTTTCCTATAGTGTTAAGTAAAATAATATTAAGTATTATCTATAAGTATTACTACTTATAGTATTAAGAAAAATAAAAGTTTGCAAAACAGAATCTATAGTGTCTTATACATGAAGCTGATACTTATTATTCACCTTAATTAGTGAACACTGAGCCACTACTTCTAGAGGAAGTACAGAGTTAGGTTCCTGGCAGCACCTGGTCACAAAGTTTTTATTAACCAATCAACACATAATCTTGTTTGATGTGTGTTTCTGTTTAAAGATGCACTGTGTTTAATACCTGTTGTTGATTCATTAACAGAACTCACAGCCAACAGCACATATGACTGATGCCTGAATGAAATATTAACACATATTTTTTCCTGTAAGGCATGTCACAACACTCTTGGGCTTAGGGTTGCTCACTGGACAGTACTTTAGCACTATGCTTGGGGACTATTTTAAACAAGGAAATTATCACTAAAAAGCACAAAAAGATGAAATAAATGACACTAAGTGGACAGTGAAAAGGAACCTTGTTTATAGTATGAGAGCTGAAACAAAAAGCAGAATGTCACCTTGTTTGACTTCAGCTGAGAACATGCACATGAAGTGACTCAATTTTTTCTTAACTCTGTGTGAGTCTGTGAATGACCAAGAAAGTGCCATGAGTATTGATCTGGGGGTTACAAATACCTTCAGCAAGTAGACAAATTTGCAAATACAGAATCCGTGAATAATAAGGAACAACTGTATGTATTAGTAAAGACCTTTCTGGATGGAAGTGACATGTCAATTTAAATTAGATTGAGTTAAAAAGAAATTTACTGGATCATGAAACAGGGAAATTCATGGTATGAATCTTGCTTCAAATACAGTGGACTCAAGGTCTAATGGATAGACATTTCTAACTTCCTATTTCTCTTACCCTCTTTTCTGCTTTTCCTTCTTTGACGTTGCAAAGGTGTTTGGTAGCAAATGTGATCTTCCATTCAACTAGCTTAGTGACTATACTTGAAATAGTGTGTCTCTTTGCAATATCTTCACTAAGAGTCACAGGCAGTAATCATGGGAGAGTTTTCCATCACATGATTTTCTCCACAACTAATTAGTAGAGTCATTACTGTAAAGAAGGAGCCTGCCTGGGACTGGAGCCATGGAAAAGCACCCTATCTAACCAACAGAGGGTGGAGGAAAGAGAGAGCAATCTGAATACCCTTGAGGCCTTGGATCTAATGTGCTTGAAGCCAGTTTTACTCGTTTCCCTATATTATAATCCAATAATTTTCCTTTAGCTTAAAACTGTTTAAATTGGCATGTTTTCATTTCTATCTGAGCAGTTCTTTACTAAAATCATAGACTGAGTGTGGGAAAAGGAATGCTTCTTAGAGGAACAGGGATGATCTATTAATATATTTTTTTCAGATAATTTCAGTGCATATGTGCACACCAGAAGACATAAAATATGAGTTGCTAATTTGGAGGGATTATTAAGTCACCTGTCTCTATTTATTGTTTATTTAAATTAACTTTCTTTTCTTTTTTTGGTCTACAATGAGCATAAATTATTTGTGTATTGGAAACACATTATTACTAAAATATACAAAAATTAAAATTTACATTAAAGTTAGCACAGAAGGAGTGAAGGAGTGAAGACTGAGCTATGCTGATTTTTACAGGTTAGAAATTCAAATAATGTCACATACTTTAAAACTAATTTAACGCAAACGCAAGATATGTTTTCAAAAAAAAAAAACATTAGTTTTTTCATTGTTTCTCAACTGGACCAACTGTATTAGAATTACTGAAGTACTTGTTAAAAATTGGTATTTAGACCATACATTAGACATAATGAATTGGAAGAATTGGTGTTGGGGTATTGGGATAAGGATTTCTAAGAAGCTTATAGGTGATTTTTAAATCCTTCTAATTGTATAAAACGATTGTCTAGTGTAATGGAAACCTACTGTGTTTTCATAATAATATATCCTGAATAAAAATTTATTTAAATCAATGTTTAGAAGTAGAAGACATCATTAGATAATCATCCAAAGCAAATATCTTTGTGTGCATATATTACAGGTGTTTTCAACTCAAAGCAAATATCATGTCACATCCAAATCAAGAAGGAAAATTAAAGTAAATTATGTGCTCAAAGATAGAACAAAACCTTTTATTTTCAGTCATATCTTGAAGAAAAATATATTGATAGGCTTTAGTATTAAAGAAAAATAATAGGGTAAAACAATATTTTTTCTGTTTTCAAACAGAAGAGTAAAGCATTTTTAAGAACAGCAGGAGACTGAAATAGAGGTAAAACTAAAAGAAAATTGACCTTGGGATAAATTTTTAGCAAATAAGAGAACTGAATGCTGAGCTTGAAAACTAACTTTCATTACAATATATTTTTATTATAATCCATGCACTATGTTCATGCTTTGCAAGAATCCACGACATCAGTTTTTCAAGTCATTTTTATATCATTCTACAAAGCCGAACATTACATCTGAATGAGTTTAGAGGATTGCCAACACAAAGCTGTTTGTGAGAACAAATTCAATGAGAAAATATAAGGGAAAACACTTTATAAAGTATTAGATATTTTTTGAACTATTATGCAATATTATTTGTTATCGCATCTGCTTAACTGGCCCAAGGCAAGTCTATATCTTAACAGTTTTCAACACACTGAAACTAAGAACTTTTAAATAAGTGTCATTAAAGTTTATTGTAGGAAAGGATTGGGAATATAAAGACACAAATAGCATTTATTTATTAACAAACAATGCTGAGTT